CCATATGTGATGCACCTCGTTCGGGACGTCCAATTGAGGTTGCTACGCCAGAAATCATCAATAAAGTCCACGATATTGTTTTGACTGATTGACGAGTGAAAGTGCGCGAGCTTGTTGAGACCACAGGCATATCACATGGCACAGTGATTTCAATTTTGTAAACAATTGGGAAAAAGCTATCAGCAAGATGGGTGCCGCGTTTGCTCACTGTACCTCACTGGACCATAAGCGCGACCGTGTGACAATTTCAAAACAATGTTTGGATGTTTTAACATAATCCAGATGCGTCGATTCATTACTGTGAACGAAACATAGATCCATTATTTCACACTCGAGATGAAGGAACAGTCAAAACAATGGACTTCACCGGGTGAACCAGCTCTGAAGAAGACGAAGACCGTAAAGTCGGCCGAAAAGATGGCCATAGTTTTTTGGAATTATTGCACGCGATATTATTCATATCGATTATCTTCCGTCGAAGCAAACGATCAATGGCGATTACTACGCCTTATTGGATCTTATTTCAACAACATTTTAAAGAAAAAACATCCCTATGGGTGAAGAAGAAAATGCTCTTCCATCAAGACAATGCACGGGTTCACACGTGCCCGAGGGCCAATTTAACGAATTCCGCTATGAATTGCTTCCCCATCCAGTATATTCGCCAGAATTTAGCCCCCTGCGACTATTTCTTATTTCCAAACCTGAAGAAATGGAGGAAAGAGATTCATCACCAGAGAGCAGAATCTTTCTTGCTTATTTCGAAAAGAAACAGAAAAAAAACAGTAGTTGGAAAGTATTAAGAGATATTCAAAATACGCAAAGAGGATCTAGATGCTTCTTGTCCAATGTAGATCCTCTTTGTATTTATGATAAAAATCATTCGCTACAATCCACATTATTCTCATCCCGTATTAGTCTCGGATTCGCATGAGTCATATAATCCTATTCGGATTGTCCTGTATCTATAGATTGTTTTCAGACGATGTATACATATAAAGATCAGATATAACTTTGATATTTTAACAAATACGATAGAGTATAAAAATTATATATTAAAATATACATATATAATATATAAATAAAATGATTATAAATAATAGGTACATAAGACATAGGTATTGTCTCACCAATTATTTATTATTTTTTGTTATATTAATTAAGATTATTAAGATAAATATAATATCTATAAATAAAATAAAAAATATATGTATATGTATATATGTATATTATAAGCTAAAAGAATTGCAATATCATAATATTAGTAAAACGTTTTAGAAATATTTTTTAGCTATCTATCTGACATATTTAGGATATCGGT